CATGACCCATCAGCATAATTGCTCCTTTAAAAATAACTTTATCTCCTTGTCCCCTCTCCCTCAGGGCTGTGTATACCACAAAATCTCAAACCTGGTTGAATTCAACAATCTCCTCTCTCAACCAGTTTGGATAAAGTCATGACCATCGTCCTTAGCTTGGCCCTCAACAGGGGCCACTGGACATACGATTTTCCTCAGTATGTTCACTTTCCTATGCTCTAAGGTGACTGTCGTCATACCTTATTCCTGCATCCAGGCCCTTCCCCACCCTGAACTTGACTCCGTCTCCTGACTTATGCCTCGGAGAAAATCTGAAGCCATCATAACGAAGCACCCTCCTCCCAACCAGATCTACACGCCTACCCGCACCCATTTCCACAGTCTCAGCTGTTCTTTCTACTTGTGATCTGGGTCCAGTCCCCTCCTGACTGCTCCACGTCACTCCTGTACTCACCATGGGTTCCCCCACAAGGAGCTCTCCCTCTTCCGCCTCATTTCCTTCAGCATAAAAACACGCCCTATTATCTTCTGTTTAATACTCTTTTATCCTCCCAGATACCGCCTGGCTTCATGTCTATGCATATTTTTTTGGTAACACACTTTGTGAGAAAGTTGTCTCCATATATACTTTATTACCTTATCCCCCACATCCCATCTCCTAAATCCTCTCCAGTCAGACTTCTCTTATCCAGTGTTCAAACTGGATGGAGTAGACATCTTTGGGAGAGAAGTAAATAGAGTGGTGAGAGAAGGGGGAGGCCCACTCAAGCAGCTTGTGTGAAACGACCTTGGTGATCCATAAGGAAACAGATCCCAACATCAGGTTCCGTTCCCAATCTAGAGCTGAGAACCAGAGAGACAGAGCTGGGTCATTTGACTCTCCAGTTACATCCAGGGGCAAGTGAAGGGGGAGAAAAGGGTGAAAGAGGAAGGTTCCTACGTTTGGAGGCTGACTGAGAAATCAGATGTGAAAAATGAGGAAACTACAATATAACGGAAACCTAGGAATTAAAAACAGAGTGGGAGAGACAGTAGGGCCTGGAGGTCACAGGAATAAGTAAATGATCGATCCCAAGGGCTCAGGGGGAGTGGTTAACACCTGCAAATGGTTTCCTTTGAGGAATAAAGGCACAGGAGAAGGTAAAGCAAATGCAAAATACGATCCTAAGCAAAAATAAATGGTCAACACAGATAGTATGGTACTTACCCAATGGCTACTAAATCTTCATGATGAGGTGAGCAAGTAAGACAGAAAATCGTCCTGGGTTCTATAAAGAGGTGCTGGCTGTCACTTCTGTTCAGCCAGTAACAGAAAACTACTCCTTTTTCGTCTCCAGATACTATTAAATCCTTTACTCGAGGAGACCAATGCAATGCCGATATTGTGTGCTTTAAAACAAAACAAAAATGTATTTGCTTCTCATTTGTCAATGCTGAATTTTTACTTAAGTTTTTAACCAGTATAATACTAGGAACATTATAGATACCTACTAAATACTGTTAGTACCGTTGTATAGAAAATGGTAGGAGAATTTAGGCTACTGAGCATCAAAGAACCATTTACAATATTTTTTCCTTTAATAGTTTAATGGAAAAGTTCCTACTAAGTAAATAAATCTTTTCCTTTACTACATTCTCTCAAAAGGCAGGTTTATCAAGTAATCTGGTTTAGAAGCAAGTTGCTTTTACTGATTTATAGTTTATATCAGGAGTCTATTTCATGTAAGGAACCAGACAATAAATATTTTAGATTTTGTGGGCCACATTGTCTCAGTTGCAACTATTCAGCTCTGTGGACGTAGCATGCAAGCAACCAGTACTTAAATTATGGACAATACTTAAATGAATTACTGGCTATACTACATTAAAACAGTTTGCAAAAAAAAGAGGCAACAGTGTAGTTTGCTGAACTTTGGTTTATAAGTGTTGCCTTCCAAAAATGTTTCCTAAAATATAGAGCTTCTTAACTAATTAATGAACCCAATTACAAAAGTTACCTTGCACACTTGAGCTAGCAAAACTATATTCGAAGCAAAAAAAACCTCGGCACAGATCTATAACAAGAGTCCAGGAAACCAGTAAACCATGGATGGTACCTGATGAAGTGCGTGTTCTGTCACAACTGTTTTTGTCTCTACGTCCCAGATTTTCACAGTTCCATCGTCGGAGCTGGTGGCACAAAGGTTGTACTGATCCGGGTGATGAGAAAACGTGAAGCCAGAGACTCTTTCGGTGTGTCCCACCAACTCCCCTATGACTGCAAGCAAAACCAGACTCCAGGTTAAAGGGCTACCTAAGGTTTCTGGCCAAATCATACTAATGTTAAATGATGAATGGGATCTCTCTTATCCCGTGGTATAACAAAAATGTCCAGGGACTCCCAGTCAGCAACCCCAAATGCTCCTACTGGTTCTCCCAGCTAAGTCATTTTATGTCCTTGAGCCTCAGTCGTCTCAAGTGTAAAAAATGCTGTTGATATTCCCTGATGTGCCTAGTTCACACGGAGGAGCAGCCCAAATGAAGACTGTGATTCTTATTTAGATCTGGCCAGAGATGGCTTGGAATAGAACATCTGCCATGCCGCATCCCAAGGTATAATCAAAACTTTGTTTGGAGCCTAAAAGCACTTGGCTCAATTCATTCATCTTATAGAAGTAAGTGTCACATAGGATCTTGCTTAGGGCCTGGTGCTGTAGGCAGCTCCCAGACGCAAGAAAGGGTCTGCGCGCAATGGGTGGGGAAGGAAGGCCATAGATGTTGAAAATATTTGGGTTTAGACAGGGATACTTTCTAATAAGCGAGGAGTCCCCACGTGGGAGCGCCAGGAGGCGGGACAGCTCATCCACAGCGTTGTGTAGTTCAGTACTGGAGATCGGAATGCGACACATCTTAGGGGTTGTGAGCAGACTCTTCCCCCTGCCTGGGCCTCAGTTTCTCCATCTGTAGAGGGATCTTACTTAGGGTATACCAAAAATATCCAGGGACTACAATCAGAAACCTCCAATGCTGGTACTAGCTTTGCCATGTGCTTTCAGATAAGTCATTTTATCTCCTGGAGCCTCAGCACGTCTGAAGACGTACACTCGGTACCTCCAGGGAAAGCAAGAAGTGCAGGAAAAGTGGGGGCAGGGAGAGGGAGTTACCTCGAAATGGGGGCGTCCCAGGGATCGCACCCGCGCCTGGGCCCACGCGGACTAGGAAGACGGAGGTACGCGCCGCGAACCCGAAGAAGCCCCCAGGCACGGCATCGCTGCATCGGGTGCAGTACCAGTTAGGAGAGGGCGGCAGCGTGCGCGGTTCCAGGCTCATGATCACGGTTCAGTAGAGAAGTGGAAAGGACCACTGGGGCAGACCGTTCGCAGCCCCACGCTGTAGCGGGGAAGGGGGCGGGGCTTAACGTGGAGCCCCGCCTCCCCGGGCCCGCTGCTACGGCGCGCGCCGAGGCCCAGGCCGCACCGCGCGCTTTGCTCCAGCCCCCCCCAGAGCTTCGAAGAACCGGACCGCCTTGGGAGCAGGCTACTCCCGACCTCGCCCGGGGGCAGCAGGGTCCGTTGCTGCCTGAGCCCAGCCCCGGGTTCAGGCGTTCTCGCTTCCTACAGTCAAGGTACAAAATGACTGGTGGAGTCATCTTCCCGCACTGCCGGTATATTCTTTGGCCCTGTTTAACGCTGTCCCATCAAGTATGTTTTGAACGCTGTGTGCCGGGACACTTCGCTAGCTCTGGAGATTCTTTAAAGCAGCAATTTTCAACCGGTGTGCTGGGGCACACTGAGGTGCAGCGAGAATTTTTAAAATGTACAAAACCCGACTGTATCATCAGGGGCACTGACCTCTTTTCCCTAAGGTTGTCAGATAAAATAAATGACAACAGCCAACACGATAATATTCGTCCAATGTGAATGAATTAAAATTATACCCAATTTTCGTCAGAGTGGCAAAAATATATATTCTTTTGGCGTGTCACAGCATTTTAGTAGTTTGTGTGCCACAAGATGGAAAAAGTTGAAAGTCTCTGCTTTTAAGATATCTACAAGAAGCGAGTTAACAAAAACGATAAAAGTTCAAATCAGAACTCCGAAAAGAAAGAGTTTGTGCAATTGGGTGGAAATCCTGGCTGTGGTTCTTGGTAACTGCAGGAGAAGAGGAGAGGGACTCATTCGATTGAGTGCCAGCTCTGTGAAACTATGTGGTAAGCGCTGTGGAGGAAAAAGAACGGAAGTTTCCTTTCAATTCACGCTAAGATGCTCAGATTTCTGCTCTTACACTCTCCTACGCCTGTAACGCTTGTTTGCGTGGGCATCCGGCACTCCTGCAATGTAGCAGATGACACCTGAGCTATCTATCCATCCTGATCCAGAGATGTCAAACGTATAGTTGGCAGTACATTTGGTGGTGTCTAGCCTTAGATTGACTACTGGTTTTAACCTATTTTAAGTCTTCGTTTGAAGAAGGAAGATGATGATCCATGCCTTGTTGGATTGCTGCGAGGAATACTGAGATTTAGTGAAACACCGGCTGGACGGACATGGTAGCCAGTGCCAGATGATTAACTTTTTATCTCTTTTAGGTCAACTTGGAGCTTAGTAGGGATTAGGACCCCATACTTTATATTTGAACTCTTTGTTTTATAAAAGAGCTTTCCACATGATCTCTAGTGATATTAAAACAAAACTGGTCTAGGGATAATGATTGTATTTTACTGGCTAGAAAACTGAGGCCCCCCCCAGCCAGGTTCGGTGGCTTGTTCACGGTCGCTCTCGTCCTAATTCTTTCAGACCATTTGTGAGGTAAGGCTTAGCAATTTTTCTGGATCCCGATGAATTTCCAGAAAGCCACAGTTTTCAGCCTTTGTTAAGTCATTCATTCCCAAACTAGGCCAGGCTGACCACAACTGAAGCGCCGGCCGCGTGTTCGTGGTCTCCATGACAACACCGCGGGTGTTTCTGCCGGGGAGAAAAGCAGAAAATTGCGCATGCGTCTTGTCCCGATGGTAATTGAGCTCGGAGGCTTCCGTAGAGGGTGGGAGAAAGATGGCGGCAGCGACTCTAGAACGCTTGGGTGAGCATTTCTTAGTGGTTCAGGGGCACTGGGAAGGAGTGCAGGTGGGAGTTTGAGTTGATGCCTGTGTTGCTCTTGCAGGTGCGTTATGGATGCAGAATCTGCAGGGGAAGCTGGCCTTGGGGTAAGTTGCCTCAGAGTTGCGGAAGGGCTCAAGGTTTCCTTACAGTCTGTCCATTACTAAGAGCCTCCTTGCCGGGCTCTGGTTTAGGCTCTGGGGCTGTGGAGGTGACAGCAACTCCACTGTCACCTCATCATCCTGCTGCCTAATTGCATAGCCCTCAGGGCGTCAGGATTACCTGTTCCCCAAGGGATGTCGTAAATATGTGTTCTAAACAGTCTCTTCTGATTTTTCTGGACGCGGATAGAGTCTCCCAGCCCTGTCGCTGCGTTCAGCTTCCCTAGTTACCGCTGCAGTACCGTTTCCACACGAGCAGGGACTGTGTTGTAGACAGCCGCAGCTTCCAGCGTGCCTGGTATTGTGTCAATCGCTTTCGAAGCGTTATCATTCTCATAACACCCTGTGTAGTGTTCGAACCGCTGTACCCCCTTTTCAGATACGGAGCTTGGAGCTCTCAAAAGTAAAATAAGTTGCCTAAGGTTCCCCAGTTAGGAAGTTTTGAAGCTTTATACTGTACTCTCTAGACTGTTCTTTGACCTCAGGACAAAAGCATTGTTTAAGGTTATGGGGTGCAGTTGGGTGAGGACTGGAGAGAAGCCTTTCCCGCTCCCTTATTCTCCTCCTTTTGCAGCACAGTGACTGATATTTGGAAGTTGATAATCGATTGTAAATTTTCTGATTGGTGCATTTCTTAGCCTTATTTTGGTTTATATAGGCTTTGGAGACAGGTAAGTTGTGTGCAAGTCTACTTTTTAACTTTTGGGGGAAAAGTTACCCTTTTTAAGTTTTAGTTGTAATAGGCGATGAAAGAAGTATTAGAACCTACCTAATAGGTTTTTTTAAAGTGAGGATTAATGTGATGACGCATGTGAAATGTTTAGTACAGTGCATGGCATATAATAATCCCACACTAGGTCCTAGTTGCTATTACTGTTTTTTTCATTATAAGTTATTATTGAGCCCTTGCCAGTGTGGCTCAGTTGGTTGGAGCGTCACCCTGCACACCAAAAATTGGGAGTTTGATTCCCAGTCAGGCACATACCTAGGTAACAGTTTCTGTCCCTAGTTGGGGCACTTGTGGGAGGCAACCAATCAATGTGGCTTTCTCACATTGATGTCTCTTTCTCCTTCCATTTCCTCTCTCTCTCGAAAATCAATAAACATTTATTCAGTTCCCATTTTTTAGCTTTGTCCTAGGTCGTTTGTTAAAAGGGATGAAGAGGTATGCTAATGAAGAAGATAGGAAGTACAGCCCTAAGGATCTGTCTGCACTTTGCCATCTTAGGCTGCCTTCCATCACTTCACCCCAGCATGCTGCTGAGCTTACTTTCTTCTGCTTGTGTTGTGCAGTTATTTGCCTTTTGGCTTTTCATGCTGTGCCCCCACTTCCTGTCTGTAACAGCAGTCCTGCCCCTTATTTAAATCCCTATTCAAATGTTTCACCTTCAGGAGTTTTTCTCAGGTCTCACTAAAAATGAATGAGATTGATTTCTCCTTCCTTTTGCCATGTGTGCTTTGAAGAGTCACTTCCTGTGTGTGTGTCAGTGCCCTTGACTAGCTGTGAACCCTGGACAGGTAGGGTCAGTTCTTGGTTCTCTTTGTAGCTCCAGCATAGGGTCCTGAATAAAGATTTTGTTAATGTTTGTTGATTTAAATTGTCGTGACTGATTTAAACTGGGGAGCTCTGAGCTAAGTTTTCATCTGTGTCCTAAAGGATGGTTGGGTTTCTCTAGATAATCTCTTAAGTCCCTTTCTAGTTCCAAAATTATGTAACTTTATGAATCCTTGTTCTGGGCCTTCTAACAGGGAGATGATCACATGAAACTAAGTAGAAAGGTATGCTCATGATAACTGTAAAATCTTAGAGATCGTCTGATTCAGTAACTGGAAACTAATTGCATGCAGGTGCTAGAAGTGAATGAACTAGGAGAAGTGGGCTATGTAAAATGAGAGTGTGGTAGGGCCTGTAGCAATTGAAATTTAGAGTGCGTTCCTCATGTAAAGGGTTTGAACTGGGTTAAGAAAATGCTGCTGACCAGATAAAACTTTTCTGTAGGCTATATTTGGTAGCAGACTGATAGTTTCTAACCTTTGGATTTCAACTCTCCCATTTTACTGATGGATGCATTGAGAAATGTGCCTTACTAAAGGTTCCATAGTTAATACGTAGCAAGTCTAGGATCTAAACAAAAAAGTTCTCTGGCTTTAAACAGTGTTCTCTCACACCATGGGAGGACAGAGTGAATGGCCCAGTAGAGGTTTCTCTGGGGAGTTCTTTGGGAAGAGGGGACTTGAGTTCAAATAGAGTAAAAAGTACGTTTCTGTGGTTTGTAAATGAAGGGCTAGTGTAAAAGCTTGAAGGCACTAGTGACTGTGATGTCCATAGCTTAAAAATCTCCACAAGAAAAATCAAGTTGGAAATGTCATGAATTAGCAGTTTGGTGGGAAAAGTATGACGGCCATATGATCTCCATATTCAAATAAACACTGGGCTGGAGAAGTCAGAGGTGGTCTCTGCCAAGGACAGATGTCCCTAAACATTTTGCTTAATGTCTCCGAGACTCAGTGTCCTCATCTCACAAAGTGAGGGTGATGTCTACGCTAGAGGGTGGTTGTGAGAAGAGAACTAGTAGTGAGATGTCTAGTACAGTGCCTGGCACGGTGGAGGTGCAGTGGGGATGATGGTGCCACGAAGCTCTTCCCGAGGAATCACATTTTTATGTTGGAACCAATCTCATTAACCACCTGAAACTCTTAGATGAGGTTATATATTTTACCTATTGCCCCACTTTCTTTTTCAAAAGACTTTATTTTTTTGGAAGGGGAAGGGAGGGAGAGAGGGAGAGAAGCATGAATGTGTGATTGCCTCTCATTCAGTCCCCTAGTAGGAACTCAGCCCACAACCCAGACATGTGTCCTGACTAGGAATTGAACCGGCGACCTTTTAGTTTGCAGGCCGGTGCTAAATCCACTGAGCCACGCCAGCCAGGGCTCTATTGCCCCACTTTTATGTAACAGTTGGCAAGAAGGTAAGAAACAGAAACATAAATTAGCCTACTTTTCTATTTAGTTAAATCACTCTTAAGAGACTTTTCCAAAGTAAAGGGTAAAAATTATCTCCAGTCTTTATTCATCTTTGCTTTCAGTGCTCTGATTGCCATGACCAACAAGATTTGACAACCACTTTGATTTTGTGCTCTCTTAATTAAATCTTACTCTGTGATAGGAGGGGTTGTGATTTCTTGCTTTTTAAGACAGTGGTTCTTACATCTGAATCACAGACCCCTTTGAGAATATAAGAAAAGCCACAGGGCATCTTCCCAGAAAAATGCACATTACAGTCATAATGGTGTGTGTGATCCTCAGTCCAGGAGTTGCTGCACTGGGACATGCCAGCAAAATGTAAGCATCCGTTTGTGATGAGTGAGGTACTGCAATGCCTGCCGTGCAGTGAGTGCACACTAATGGTTAGTACAGCACACAGTAGAGTTTCATGGCAGTAGCTAGAGGACCTGGTTAGGGGAGGGTTGGTATTAAGTTGGGAGACGTTGGAGTATATTTGTTTGCCAGTGGGCGTGAGCCAGTAGAGAGGAAACATTGCTGATGGTGAGAGGGAAGGAAGAATTGCCAGAGCAATATACTTGAGTAGGTGGGTGGGGACGGGATCTAGAGAACAAGGGGTGAGAGTGGTCCTAGCCGGGGCATAAACTGTTCACGCACTGTAACAGACGGTAGTAAGGAAGTACGGGCATGGATGCAGGTAGGTGTACAGATTAGGTGGTGGGAGCTTAGCTAAATAAACTTGGTTCTCCATTGAGACTGAGGGTGAGGGAGGTGGTACGGAGGTTTGACTAGCAAGAAGAGGTATGATATTTGTTTGTAGGGGCAAGTAGAGGAAATGGATACAGGAAGTGTAATAGGAATGCCAGGCAGGGTTTATGAATGAAAGTGTAAAATTTAGCCATTGAGTTAACCTTGGTTTACACAGTGAGAAAATCTGGCTTCCTACCCACCCACACATGTATGGCCCAGTACGGGAACCTTTTGGAGCAGAGAGCTCAGGCTTCCTGCTCTGTTAACACTAGTGCTGATTTTTGTTCTTTTTTTTTTTTTTAACTGTCACTTTGGCTAAGAACTGGTGGCAATTTTGCCACCCAGGCAACATTTGGCAGTGTCTGGAGATAGTTTTATTTTTTACAACTGATGTGGCGTGTGTTACTAGCATCTGGTTGGTAGAGGTGAGGGATGCTACTAAACACCCTAGAAAGCACAGGGCAGCCTTCCACCACAAAGAGGGATCTGGCCCCAAATGTCAGCAGTGCAGAGGTTGAGACACGGAGCATATCATTGTCCAAACTTGCTGGAACTGAACTTTTTTTTGTTTGCAAAACTGTTTCTTGTTTGATTGTCCTTGACTTTCACAAAATAACTCCCATATTGAGTTATCAGAATATGCATATCACATCAGCCCGCTGTTTTCAATTTTAAATGAGGCAAGAGAGAGGCTGTTCTTTTATTCAGTCTCAAGTGTAGGATTAACTTAATGTTATCAGAAGTAAATTTGGAACAAAGAGTTTTTTACCTTGATGAATATAATAGCACGATATTCTCAAGACTGAGCCTGAGGCCAGTATTATCTTCACTTGGGACTTGAGTATACTTTGTTCTGAATTTCAAACTGAACTTTGAGTAGTAAATAGGAAGTATTAGTTCTTTCAATTGTGACTTTATGAAGTTTCAGAGTCTCTATCTTACCTGAATTAACTCTTGGCTTATATCTACTCTTCAATGCCTGTAGACTATGGGTACAATGCAAAAAGTGATACTTGACACTTAATTCTCAAGTATTGGGAGGTAGGGAACACAGGAATAATGAGAGCAAGGAAACGCTGCATACGTTAGTTTCAGTCTACCACCTGCTTTGTGCTTGAGCTCTGGGGCGTCTCCTTACTGCAGGCTACCTGCGTGTACGTTGGTGCACAAGTGCTCTGGAAAGTACACAGCTCCTCACCCTCACCCACTTTACCAAGATGCAGTCAAATTCAAAGGATTTGAGATTCCTAGCAAATGAAAGGCTATTATTAGGGATGAGACTTGAATTTCAAAATGATAAAAATTGATCGTAGGTGTCTTTCAGTGCCTTTTTTTAAAAAAAAAAGATTTAACTTGTTTTGGTTCTTTAGAATGCTAACAGTAAACTGGAGCTCTAAGCAGACTTAAAACCTGGTTTTTGTTGGGGAACAATGGCAATAACCCATGCCACATTTTTTTAATTCCACCAACTTCCCTTTCTTGAGTTTTTCTCAAGTGACCCCTTCATAAGCTTTCTCACATAAAAAGATGTGAGAAAAGATAAAAGCCTCAAGTTTTGAATTACTTTTATTTTCCATTTTACCTTAGGATTGCTGCATTTTGTATTTTTAAATTTAGTGCTATTCTAAGAGCTGGCCAGGAGAGGGCACATAAGAACTTTGAATTTAATATACTTTTTAAAATTGTTTATTCTATTACAGTTGTCCCAATTTTTTTTTCCTTTTTGCCCCCCTCCACCCACCCCACCCCTCTTTCCCACAGCCAGTCCTCTGAATTAAGTACCCAGTTTGGAATAATAATTTAATTTGATTATAGTAGTTTTGTGTTTACTTGATAATTCATTTTGTGAACAATTTGAGTCCTGAAAGTGTTGTAGGTAATCATAAAGCGTTGTCATTATTAATACAAAGTGTGTTTAATTTATTAAGCATTATAATCAATTCATCCAATGTATTGAGGATTGAGTGCAAGACACTGCGCTAGATGTGGGGGATTATGATACAGGGATTTATAAGAAATACATACTTGGTCATTCAGGTGACCAAAATACCTTTCTCATGTCCACTGGAGTGGAGACAGAGGTGGGTCGGGAGAGACCCTGGAGACGATGTCGTCCAGTTCCTCTTTTCAGAGATGAAGAAACTGAGTCCTAGAGAGGTAACGGACTTAGTGTACCCGAAGTTAATTACTGCTTTGTAGAACGTAAGTGATCATGACTGTGAACATGAGAAGATTTGAAATTGTGTAATACAATTTCAGTTCACAGGATTTTTTCTTTTTTTGAGAACAGGAGAGATTAACTATTCAGAGGGCCTAATTTAAAATTAATATTAGTGCCCTGGCCAGTGTGGCTCAGTTGCTTGGAGCACCATCCCATACACTGAAAGGTTGGGGGTTTGGCTCCGGTCAGGGCACACACCTAGGTTGCGGGTTTGGTCCCCGGCTGGGGAGTGTGTGGGAGGCTACCAGTCGTCGATGTCTCTCTCTCACATCGAGGTTTCTCTCTCTTTCTCTCTCACTGCCTTGTTCTCTCTCTCAAATCAGTAAACATATTTTTAAAAAATAAATAAAATTAATACTACCCATCAGTGTTTATCATCTTTCAGACACTGTAGGATATGGCACATTAATTATTCATCTACCAACAACAAAATAAAGTATTATTCTCCACATTCTAAATATGTAAAATTTATTGAACCCTAGTAAGTGTCAGATTAAGTATTTAACTTCCAGCATCTCATTTGAGCTTCTGAAGAAATCTGTCATGTGATTACTATTATTACTCCTTTTACAGTTGAGAAAACGGAGATCTGGAAAGTCATGTGACTTCCCCAAGATCATTCACTTGGTAAATTAGAGTTAGAATTCGGATCCAGGTCTGCTCAACTCCATGGTCTCTGCCGTCATCACCTGGCTTATAGTTTCTTTAGGAAACCCTGCCCTTTGACGTCATGTGTTCTAGTTTTGTGCTTTTCATTTAAACACCGGAATTTAAATGCAGATGGGAAAGGTACAGATTTTGTCAGGTACTTAGATGGCACCGATCTTACTATTACGATGTAAAATGGTTACTTGAGGTCGAGAAGGAGAAGTGAGCCAGTAGGAGAAGATTCGATTTAAAAAATCCTGTAGTCTGCACGGTGTGAGGGTGGCAAACAAAGGCCTTGCCAAGCATGTCGTCCAGTCGCGGATGTCGTGTGAGAACCTGCCCACACACAGCAACTTCGAACTCTGACGTCTGGGTTAGGCATTCACTCATTGTCCACTGCCAGATGTTGACCCTGGTGCTGGAACACGAAGGGTGTCAGACTTGCCCTTAGGTGCTCGGATCTGTACCCTTACTGTAGCACTCACCGGACTGCAGCCAGTTCATTACAGCACGCGGTCCAACTCGCTGCTGGGGGGCTGGCAAGAACATGGGGCCGAGACAGTTGAGGGAATGGTGGTCTGGGAGGAGGACTAGGTGAGGTTTCCCAGTGAGGTGACATCTGAGGTGGAGCTTTAAACAGGATAAGCATTTCATTCAGGAGACAATGAGGGAGGAGAAAACAGTGTTAGCAGAAGTGTAAAGGTACGGAAGTATTGCCTTATTCAGGGAACAAATGGTGTCTGTGTGTCTAGGTCGTAAAGTGAATAGGCAGAAAGGCCTGGTTGGGGCTGGATTGGGAAAGGCCCTCTGTGTCTCGTTCAGGAGTTCGGGTTCTGTATTGTGGGCAGTTGGGAAACTCGGAAGGTTGTTGCGTTACTTGGGTATATCCAGACGTGTACAAAGCAAACAATATGGTGAACCCCCACTAACCCAACGCTCAACTTCAACAATTATTAACACATGGCTAATCTTGTTGTATCCATAGCCTCTACTCTCCCCCCATCTTATTTTGAAACAAATTCCAGCCCCTGTGTTATTTCATCCATAAATATGTCACTGCGTATCTCATGAAGAGGAATCAGATGTCCATTTAACATTCAAATTTCCAATAGTTAAGTGGTTACTTAACCAATGATAATAGTTTACACATTGAAATGAATGATTTCTCTTAAGTCCCTTAATCTGTAGGTTCTTTGTTCAGCTCTCTCCCCCTACCCCTCTGCTCTCCTTTTGATTCCAATATTTATCTGCTTATAGTTTGTTGAAGAAAATGGATTTTTGTCTTGTAGAGTTTGTAAATCTTGTATTTTGCTGAGTGCATTCTCTTGGTGTTGTTTGATATGTTCCCCTGCCTCTGTATTTCCTGTATTGAATGTAGAGGCTTGATCGGTTCAGGTTCATTTTTTGTGGAAGGACTGTTTCATGGATGGTGGGTGGTATGTTCTTCCATTGGGAGACACATCATGGTGGCTATCCATTAATTTCTTAGGGATTACGAAATGATGCTTTGTCTTCTTACCCAACAAAGTTGAGGAAATCTACACGTCAGGTCAGGGATCCATTATGTTCTCTTTAAATCTGCTTTCGAGCTGGGCTGACTTATAATATAGTCAATATTTATTGGCTAGTGAGAGCAAGAGATCTCAGGTGAGTATTTATTATTTGACTTATACAAGTTGTTAACGTTTTACTTTTCTTAGCCTTCAATAAACTAGCTCTTTGTGCTATTTTATGTAAAAGCAGCCTCTATTAGTGAATATTATCTAGAATGTTTCCACTTGAGATCCTTAAGTAGTTTCTGTCAAAATGAAGCTGAGATGGTTCAGAAGATACTAAGCTCTGCAAAAAGATTCAAAGTGTCTGTTGTTTTACAGGCTTTTTTCATCTCAGAGTGTTTTACCCCAGTCACACATCCACACAAGTGCTTCTCTGGATGTTTCTCGAAGATGGGAGAAGAAGAATAAAATTGTTTATCCTCCACAACTGCCTGGAGAACCTCGGAGACCAGCAGTGAGTTTGGGGTAGAACTAATTTCTAAAGTAAAACATATTTTTTTCTTGATTCCAGAGATGGGGGAAGGGAGGGAGAAAAAGAGGGTTGCCTTCTGCATATGCCCTGACTGGGGATTGAACCTGCAACCCAGGCAAGTGTCCTGATTGGGAATCAAACCTGTGACCTTTTGCTTTGCAGGATGACACCCAACCAACTGAGCCACGTTGGCCAGGGCCAATTTATAAATTCTGATGAAGAATTCTCACTCTTATGTGGCTAGCAATGGTTTATTATTCCATGTTAAAGAAAGAAAAAAATGTACAGCAATTGTCATGATTCTTCAATGGATAAAGAAAATATACTCGATTTATCTCTTTGGAAGTTTAAAAAGATTGTATTTGTCTGCCTTCCTTGACTTCCTGAATTCAGGCCTTGACTCGAAAACTGAGCTAATAGTTTGAGACTTGCTGGTTTTTGATTCTAAGAGGCTTCCTAATGAAATTTTTTTAAAGATTCTATTTATTTATTTATTTATTTATTTATTGGGAAGGATAGGAAGAAAGAGAGGGAAAGAAGCATCATTGCATGAGAGAAACATCAGTTGGTCGCCATGCGCACGCCTCTGGCTGGGGGCCTGGCCTGCAACCCAGGCATGTGTTCTGACTGGAACCCAGCCAGCGACCTTTTGGTTTGCCGGGCGATGCCCAAATCACTGAGCCACACCAGCCAGGGCTTCCTAATGAATTCTGGAGAATGAAGCATGAGGAGTTGGCAAGAATGACTTAAACCATTGGCCAATATTGAAATCATATATGGTTTTCCAATGTTTTATATTTGAATATAGACACACTTGGTCGTTTTATAGTTCACAAACCTTTGAACCTAAGGTTTGAATTTAATCAAGCTTTATCTTATTTTTAGTTGCTCAGAATACTTTTACCCTCTTCAATTGCTTGTGATTGCTCTTGTTTGAGATATGCCTAATTTCCAGCTTAATGTGAATTTTCTGTTGAATATATTTACATCTGCTAAAAAGTTTAAGCAAGTGGTAATAGCATAAACAAGATGGGAATGTTTGAATCCTTAAGAAAATAAACTGCTAAGTACTTTAGAAATATAATTACTGTGTTGATTATAAATCATACAGTTCAGAACACATCTTTTAAAGGCCTTTGGGATTGAAGTCTCTGCTAATCAGTATCATCCAAGTATTTTCATTTGCTTTGTTTTTATATGAGCTTGACAGAATAAATTTTATTAAGATTCAATTGCTGTCTAGGTATTGGTCTGAATTAGTACAGTTTTATGTTTTATTTTTCTTTTCTCATTTAATTAATTATTTTTTGGGCAGCGATTGTGTTCTTTTTAAAAAATATATTTTATTGATTATGCTATTACAGTTGTCCCATTTCCCCCCCTTCACTCCCCTCCATCCTGCACACCCCCTCTTTAGTTCATGTCCATGTGTCATATATATAAAAAGCTTCTACTTTTCCCATACTATTCTTACCCTCCCCCCTGTCTATTTTCTACCTACCATCTGTGCTACTTATTTTCTGTACCTTCCCCCCTCCCCCTCCCATTCCCCTCTTGCTAACCCTCCATGTGATCTCCATTTCTGTGGGTCTGTTCCTGTTCTAGTTGTTTGTTTAGGTTGTTTTTGTTTTTATTTTAGGTGTGGTTATTAATAATTGTGAGTTTGCTGTCATTTTACTGTACATGTTTTTTATCTTCTTTTTCTTAGATAAGTCTCTTTAACATTTCATAAAATAAGGGCTTGGTAATGACGAACTCCTTTAACTTGACCTTATCTGGGAAGCACTGTATCTGCCCTTCCATTCTAAATGAAAGCTTTGCTGGATAGAACAATCTTGGATGTAGGTCCTTGCCTTTCATGACTTGGAATACTTCTTTCCAGCCCTTTCTTGCCTGTAAGGTGTCTTTTGAGAAATCAGCTGACAGTCTGATGGGAACTCCTTTGTAGGGAACTCTCTCCTTTTGTCTTGCTGCTTTTAAGATTCTCTACTTATCTTTAATCTTGGCTAAGCTAATTATGATGTGCCTTGGTATGTTCCTCCTTGGGTCCAACTTCTTTGGGACTCTGTGAGCTTCCTGGACTTCCTGGAAGTCTATTTCCTTTTCCAGATTGGGGAAGTTCTCCTTCATTATTTGTTCAAATAACGTTTCCATTTGTTGCTCTTCCTCTTCCCCTTCTGGTACCCCTATAATTCAGATGTTGGAACGTTTAAAGATGTCCTGGAGGTTCCTAAGCCTCTCCTCATTGTTTTGAATTCTTGTTTCTTCATTCTTTTCTGGTTGGATGTTTCTTTCTTCCTTCTGGTCCACACCATTGATTTGAGTCCCAGTTTTCTTCCTATCACTAATTGTTCCCTGTCCATTTTCCTTCATTTCACTTAGCATAGACTTCATTTTTTCATCTAATTTGAAACCAAATTCAACCAATTCTGTAAGCATCCTGGTTATCAGTGTTTTGAACTGTGCATCTGATAGGTTGGCTATCTCTTCATCACTTAGTTATATTTTTTCTGGAGTTTTGATTTGTTCTTTCAGTTGGGCCATTTATTTTTTTTTGTCTTGGCACACCTATTTGTAGTGAGGGGCAGAGCCTTAGGTGTTCACCAGGGCGGGGCAACCCACCTTGCTGTGTTGTGATGCTGTATGTAGGGGAGGGGTCTCAGAGAGACCAATAGTGCTTGCTTCACTATCTGCTGGATTTCAGTCACTTCCCCCGCTTCCCACGAGCAAATCGGGCCCTTCTGGTGCTGATTCCCTAGTAGGTGGGATTGTGTATGTTCCAGGGCCCCATGGGTCTCTCCAACTAACTCTCCTGTGAGGCTGGGAGTCTCTCCTGGCACCTCAACACCCACAGGTGTTTTCAATCGGTGTTTTGAGGCTTTATTTCCCCTCGTTGGGACCCTGGGTTGCATGGTCTGTCTTGCTTCCTAGTTTCACTTGGTTTATCTGCCCACGAATGTGGGACCACCCGGTCAACCACCTTGCCGAGAGTCCTCTCCACCCGACTGCCCAACTCTGCCCTTCCTGCTGGTCTGGATGAATGTGTCTTCTTTAACTCCTTGGTTGTCGGACTTCCATACAGTTCAGTTTTCTGTCAATACTGGTTTTTTGTTTTTAAATTGTTGTTGCCCTTATTTTGGTTGTGCGAGGAGGCACAGTGTGTCTACCTACGCCTCCATCTTGGCCGGAAGTCCCTGGGTAACTTTTTTTGTATCGTTTCTCCTCATTATTATGCAAGTGCCTGTATGAAGACTTTTGGCTTGATTTTATATAGGCACTTTTATTTTATATAGGTAATTTGATTTTCTATTTTGCACAGATTTTGTTTTAGTGGGTAATCCTTTCGGGGACTTTTGGAAAATACCTTAACATTTTCTGACTTTATACTTATAGTATTTGGTAAATTGACACTGGTGTATCACTAATACCTATTATGACTAAAATATTAGTGCCCTTCACAAATACCCACATTATCAACAGAAAATAATTTACTCATCTAGCCACACAGTTCATACACTGGGCCATCATGTGCATTGCCCTTGGATTTGCCAATCTGCTCGCTGCAGACATCTTAAAAATGGGCTTTATTTCTATCTTAGCAGAGGGCCAGATAGTGTTTCCCGTTCTGCCTCCTCCTGACCTGCAGCATCAGTATACGTAGTTGAACAAATGATAGTGGATGGGCACCGAGTACGCCGTAGGAGCATAAGTTAAAGCAAACGTCAGTTTAGGCATGTTTTAGGCCACTCTCCTTATTTTTAAGACCACCTGTCTAATTTAGCTAGCACAAATTACCAAATAATATAGTTTCCTGTGTAGACTTAACTTACATGCGGTTTCATCATGGTAAAGAAAATAAGACAGAAATTAATACAGTTTCTTTATAGATAGTCATACTTTTTAATTTGGGCTTGAGTTTGCTTTTGCAGTGTCTGAGGGCAAGGCTATGTTAAGTCAGTTAAAAGTGTGGTGAGACTGCAGCGTGAGGCAAAAATAGGTTTACAGCTGAGTATGTGGAACAGTTTATTTTTGTATTGTTATTTATTATTGTTTTATTTTCCATACGAACTGTAAACCTACTTTTGCCCCACACTGCACATTAAAACTGTTTGAATAACTATTTCTATAACAGCCATATTTCAATTCATGGATTCATTAAAATATTGATAAGAAGTCTTGCTTATCCATTATTAATGTGGATTCCCATGAAGCTCTTGCAGGGACTTTTATTAGGTAACACTTTTTTTGTGATTTGAGTTATTATATGCATTTAAGAATAAATTAACTTCTTTAGAAGTTCCTAGCTTTGATGTTTTGTGACTTAGACTTACTTTTACTTCGTTGGATAGCCATTTTCTGCGTTATACCCTGACCGTACCTCCTGTGCCATACAGTGAGCTCCTGTCGGTGGTATTTAACCAGGCCTTCTGACCTCCAGCTTTGCCACTTAACTTGCCGTGCTAGGCTTATTGACTGAGACTTTGGTTTTTCTTTGGAAAGTGTCCTCAGACATTGTACCTGCATGGAGTAAATGTTGAGCTTTTTAGTTTTAGAAGAGGATGATTGAATAACTTTCCCCTTTTTTGTAAACTCTTGAGTTCCTTTTTTCCCATGCTTTTGCCAGGATTATAGTATCCTTTTTACACAATTTGAAGATAATCATATGCAATTCAGGTTTAAAGATAGGCTGCCATGGGATACCAAGAATTGAAAGGTTTTATATAAAAGGTTTTTTTGAGTGTATCAATTTTTGCAGATTAATATTATCAGTCACGACAGTTCTTCTTTCCTCGCGCGTGCTCCCCAGGACACTTGACTGCTGAAAATGTAATTAGGGTACTGCTACAGTTTTCGGCCTGTCAGCTTCTCTTGCAACTCAGATGAAATCTGCTACAGATTAAAAGGTGGCCACTGGAGACAACTGCTGTTTCTAAGGCATTTGAAAATTTCCTGCGGGAGTCAGAATGCTAGAAAATTCTGAGGTGTCCTTGCTATTGCGTGCCTTAACAAATGTTTCCTGATTCTTTTAAAGTGGCAGTGTGTAGTTGCTGGTTCATATGTTTCATAATTTAGACCTAATTTTACTTCGTTCGGATAACTATTTTGCACATTATATCTTAGTTTAACTTTCCCTCACTTACCGTGTAGGTTATTTAATAGCACGCGGTAGTGGAGAGGGCGTGGGTTTCGCAGTTAGAGGGGGGCACGGGCTGTGGGCCCCCAGTGTTGCGTCGGGACCGCTCATGGACCTCCCACAGGGCACGGTTGCCTCCATCACGGCCCTGTCTCTCACAGGCTTTGCGGTCTTGTCAAGTCTCTTGATTTCTCCGATTTTCGCTTCCTGAAAGGATTGTAAAATGTTTCCCCTCCCAGCTCAATGTGTCAGATCAAATGCAGTAATGGGCCTGATAATTGCTTTGTAAACTATACATTGTTTAATGGATGATTGCTTTGAAAAATTAAATAGGATATACCTACCATGGTAAATAGAAGGTTACAAAAGTTAACATTTACTAAGGCTTTACCATGTGCTAGGCAGTGTAATGTGCTTCTTTAATGTAGGCTGTTTTATTTAGTCCTTACTCATAGTTTTGTGAGGTAGGCACTGTTACCTTTATTTTAAAGAAGAAATTTAGGCAGAGAGAGGTTAAGTAGCTGGGGCCCTGTAGTAGGAAGTGGTAGAGCTAGTATTCCAACCCAGGCAGTCTGATTCTGGTACCCGTGCTCTTGACCAGATGCTCAGAGTACTGGCTTTCCTATGGAAACAGTCGTTTTCTCCATTTCACAATTGTTCTCTTCACTGACAGAGAACTCTTTTTATCTTGTACCTTTACTTTTGTTCTTTTCACCAACTAAATGTTTTTTAAAATGCTTTTCACTTAAACCTTTTACTATTTCACTAGATAAAAAAATATAGCAAATATTGGCACAAACTAGCCATCGTATAGTTTCTGTTTTTCCCTTTGTAATTTTTTTTTTATCATAGCGAGACTTTGGAAAGTATATAACTTTGTTTAGGGAAAAGAAATCTGCAGAATCTTAATAATGTTCTTATTTCTTATGGTAGCATCTTTATTGGGCATAGAAAGTCAAAACTTTGAGAGTAACAAACTTTAACAGTATGTTACTGTTTTGTTGATATAAACTTGCTGAAGTTTTTTTCTACCTGGCAGGAAATCTACCATTGTCGAAGACAAATAAAGTACAGCAAAGACAAGATGTGGTATTTGGCGAAATTGGTAAGCTAAAGTGACTATTACTGTGCAATACTTAGGAAAAGAAGTTAAGCTATAACTTTCCACCCAGGATTTGAAGAATCAAAAAAATTTGCCACAATTTCTCTAAAAAGTGAGGAGTATAACTGCATGTTCAGACAATTGGTAGGTAATCCAAAGATGATTGCCCAGAGGTGAATAATTATGCCTAATTTTTACCTTTCTTCTGAGAAACTATGTCACATTGGATACGTAGATATTTAGAACACAGGCATCAGGAATTTGGCTGTAGCCAGAGAATCCAGAAAGCAGGTTACTCACCTGTAACTTGATTCGACCTGTTTCAAAACTTTTGTTAAGTTGTTTTTTTTTTTTTAAATGAAATACAGGGATGAGTGGAGACGAGCACAGCAAATACGCATGTGATGCGTTTACCCCGCGGGAGAAAGAAAGGGCTGCCCTCGGTGCTCAGCGTGCTCCCTGCCAGCCGTGACCTCTCTCTGCCATGGCTGCTCTCTCTTGTAATTCTGTTGGACTGCTAACAGTCCAGGGTTTATTGTGGACATGTTTAAGCTTGATTATAACTTAACAAGGGTGGCATTCCTTCTCAAACTTTTCTTCTACCTGCATTTAGTTAACTGTTTTAATTAAATTTTTTTTCCCAGTTTCATTGGGATATAATTGACTTATAACTACTTAGCTATTTTTAGAAGTTAGATTATGTAAGGCCTTTGCTTTTCATTGAAAGGAGAACATTGACTTTGTAAACTAATTTATTTTTTCTTGTCTGCCACCCTTTAACTCTAGATTCAAGGAATGTCCATTGACCAGGCTTTGGCTCAACTGGAATTCAGTGACAAGAAAGGCGCCCAGATAATCAAAGAGGTAAAGTCAGACTTGGGGCAAGGGCTGCACAGTTGGCTTGCAGGTGTTCAGCTCAGCCTAAGTTCCGAATTTCCGGGTGTCAATGCATAGGCTGTAGGATACAGATGTAGGTGCTCGGTGTTATTAATGTCCTCATACCTCTGGGATGTGGTGTGCTTTACGCATTTTTTTCCTGAGCTACTTTTATTTGCACCAGACATTTATACTTGAACTGATAGAGATAATTTTTATTTTTAATGGTTTGGGGTTTGACATATCATTTATTTTTAAAAGATTTTATTTATTATTAGATAGAGGGGAAGGGAAGGAGAAAGAGAGGGAGAGAAAAATCAATGTGAGAGAGAGAAATATTGATTGGTTGACTCTTGTACTCCCCCACCTGGGGACCTGGCCCACAACCCAAGCATGTGCCCTGATGGGGAATCAAACCTGCAATGTTTCACTTTGCAGGGTGACACTCGACCAACTGAGCCACGCTGCTCAGGACATCATATTTTTTTTTAGAACACTTTTCTTTGGTCAATTCCACAACTGAGAGTTTATGATTTTCTAACTAGTCGAGTGGAAAGAGCATGAGACTGGGAGTCTGGAGGCCTGGAGTCTGGTCGTTTCTCTGATGTTTCTGTTGTGACTGTTGGCAAGACACTTCCTGTGTCTGGTCCTGTTTTTTTTAAATTTATGAACTAGGTGAGATTGGATTGGATGATCTTCAAAGACCCAGCTCTGAACGTAGCTGATTCTGTGTGTAAGTGTGCTGATGGTGATTGTGCTAGCTCTTGTTTCTAAAAGCTGGCTTGAAGACACCTAGGGATGTCAGCGTTATTCACTATCCCTCCGTTACATCTCTCACCTAAAGTCAGATCTCATCCTTTAGTTTGGTAGGCGAATGGTTACAACTGATGGATTCAGGCTTCTAAGAAGTCCCATTGTAGCGACTCTGTTTAATTCGATTCAGAATGCAATCACTAAGCCTCTGTTACACACCCAGCCTTGTTCTGTGCTCTTTTACCTTGAAAGGAGTGAAAGGTCTGGTTTCTCTTATTTCTGACAACAGTTGTCCTGTTTTTGAAAATGTGCTTTGAAGGAAGTTGACTGAATTCAAAATATGTTGTATGGAGTTTAAATTTAATAATTCTTAAAGGAAATTTTTAAGTATTGTTTTCTCTTCTTGTCTGATGTTGTTAATGGTCATGGTGGATCTGAAGTTTAAGTATTTTCAGTAAGATTTACCTCTTGAGCTTCTTGAACTTTTTGGCCAGTCTTAGACTCAAAGACATGACATTCATTACCAAGGGTGCTGCCATGAGGACTGCTGTCCCTTCCCTTGCAGCGCTAATGCCATTGAAAACTTAGCTGGGTGGGCTGTGTTCCTCGCATTTGCAGTTCTGGTCTGAGGAAGGCAGGCTTATGTGTCCATTTTCCTTAGCGCCATTATCATTTGATACTCTCTTTTTAAAATTGACTATAAAATGGAGGCATGTGATTAGCAGTCATATAGAGATAACAAGAAATAAGAATTTTAATTCCATTTTAGTTCAGGGTCAACCGTATGAATGCTTTTCTTTTCTTGTTTAAGATTCTGTTAGAAGCACAAGAGATGGCAGTGAGAGACCACAATGTGGAATTCAGATCCAATTTATACATAGGTAAGATCTTTAAGTTTTTTAGTGTTGGACAATTTCTTTTAGCAGCAATGACAAGTTCTTTATCTAGCTACAGCCTTTGATATCTAATTACTTAACACTGGGTTTGCCAGTGAAAACTGCTGGTGATAGCTTGTTCTTCAACCTCCAGCATGCTAACGTTAATCTTTTGTAAGTGGTGATAACCTTACCGCCTTATTGCTACCTGTTCTGTGAGGAAACTGAGGCTATGAAACCCACTGCCAATGATTATTGCATAATAGATACCAAGATGTTACACAGAGCAGTCCTTTAATAATAATAAAATAAGAAAGAACATAACTGATTTTGTTTTAAGTGAATTATTTCTCAACCCGAAGGAGGTAAATAAAAGGATCATAGATGGACTTAAAAAATCTTTATTTATAATATGCTGAGCCTGGTGCCTAGTCTACAAAGGTGCCCTGTAAGTTAACCCTCTAATTACCAGAGTGGAACATCCGTTGAATTGTAAACGTCAAGGGGCCTTGGGAGATGCAGGTGACCCAGATGCATTTGCTGCCCTTTGGCGTTACATCCGGACGCATTGTCTCTGGTTCTGTGCACCTGTTCCACGTCAGATTAGACTCATGTAAGTGAAGTGCTTTGGGAAGCGTTTGCACAGAATAGAAGAGATTTTTTTGTAGCATACCTCCACACGGCTCTTTTTCCAGAAAGAGATCAACATCCATCACAGACCTCTCTTGCTCCCTCCCAGCTCCCCAGTAACGTGGAGCAGTGGTTGGAGTTAATGCTTTTCTCTCTCTTCAGCAGCAATTACTCCTAACCTCAGCAGTTTTGTAATCAAACAAAGATGTTGATGTCGAAGCAAAGTTTTTCCATCTGCCAAGCCTTCATAAAGAAGGATTATTTTACCTAAAGATACTTTAAATTCGAGATATAGGGAGCTGCTAATCGAATAGAGGACAAAAGGCTGAATCGCTATGGGTGAAATTAGTTGTACCTTACAAGTTTTCAATAATTAGAGTAAAAAAATATCTGAATGCCACTTTGTCACATAACTGCTGTGCTAGTGGAGGTACTTATTCTCATTCAGTTGAAATCTTAACCTCAGCTCACCTGGAATCGATGCTGCAACCACAGCAACTTCTGAAATTCAAATGAGATTTTCAATTGAAATATCTTATTTTAAAGCTGAAACTTGTATAACTAAATATTTTCTGATATATGCATGCATGCAGAACGAAATCCACATGGCAGCTCAGAAGACACAGGGCTGTAGTAGTTAACCATAGGTATTTTCTTCTGGGGGCAGCATGAATAAATAATGCTAGGGGAGCCCAGGATGAGTGGAAGAGACAAGGTGGATGAAGAGCAAGAGCATTTACTCCAGACCTCTTTGTAACCTTTCCTGTGCTGTGGTTGAAAAACAAATCAAATTTGATTAATTTTATTCCATTTCTTAGGAATGTTTGGGCTTCTTAGCTGATAGACAACACTTTGTAATGGAATTCAGACACAAATGAAATAGAATTTGTCTTGAAGTCCACTTTGATCATTGTAGTAGAGAGAGATAAGGTGAGGAGCTTAATCCTGTCCCCCTAAATGAATGAGCGACGTCCATTGTTGCCATTAAGCAAAAATAAACTTAACCAATCCTGGGTGAATGGGCTTTTAATTCATTGGTTTCCTTATGAACATTTCTGCTGAAAAATCTCTGCCCCACCTGTACCCTCTTTTCATGTAGTTATGTGTGAAAATCTCTCTTTAAAAAAATATTAGATTTATTATTTATTTTTAGAGAGCAGGGAAGGGAGGGAGAAAGAGAGGGAGAGAAATACTGATATGTGAGCGAAACATCGACTGGTTGCTTCTTGCACGCTGCAGTTGGGGGGCCTGGCCCGCAACCCAGGCATGTGCCCTGAGTGGGAATCCAATCGGCGACCTTTCGGTTTGCAGGCTGATGCTCTGTCCATGGAGCCACACCAACCCAGGGCAAAAAATTTTTTTCTTAAGTCACGCAGGTTGGATTTGTCGTACGATTTAAAAACTCATTTGCTATGTATTTTATTACCTAATTTCATTATGGATGAAAAAGAGATGAGTATGCTCAGGAAGATGAAGTATCTTACTGTGACGTATCAGACATTTTATCCTTGTTTTGCCAAACTTTCCTGATGAGAATCATTTGAGGTTCTTGTTAAAAATACAGATTCTAGCCCTGGCTGGTGTGGCTCAGTGGATTGAGTTTCAGCCTGCGAACCAAAGGGTTGTCAGTTTAATTCCCAGTCAGGGCACACGCCTGGGTTGTGGTCCAGGTCCCAATGGGGGGTGTGCATGAGAGGCAACCACACACTGATGTTTCTCTCTCTCTCTTTCCTTCCCCTCTTTCTAAAAATAAATAAATAAACTATTAAAAATAAAAATACAGATTCCAGGGCCTTACCACAGACTCACTGGATCTGAAACCCTGGGGAGAGGCCTGGGTGTATACCCTAGTGATTCTAACCTGTAAAATGTAGGTAACTATAAAATGGTGTTGTGTTCTTGGAAAACGGCTAGATAATTTATTCCATAGACTTCTCTCAAGATTTTGAAAGACTGGCTACTTGTTGGCTACCATCTCATCTCAGCAATGGCTCTCTCCGTCACCTGGAATAAGCAGGCACAGGTACTTTAAAGGAAGTGCTCTTCGGTAGCATATGTTCTCATTATACAGTAATTCCTTCAAGTGCCTGTCATCAGTCTGAAGCTAATACCTGCTGTTGCATGACCACAGACTCTGAAAGTTCATTTCCTTTTCAAACTTATAATGATGACAAATGACACTGTGAATAGCCTTAACAAGTGGACATGGACTAATAAAATGTCACTGCTTGGTGATTCACAGCATCTAGAGTGACTCACTAGAGAAACTGATGGACTGACTTTGTAAATTAGTCGTCTGGGCTGAGAGTGATGAGGTGGGGTGGGAGGGTTCTCATTTCCCTAAATACTAGTAATGGAAATATTGACATTACTTTAAATCCATGGTTTCCGTTGGGCATTGCCTTTAGAAAGTTGTTCCCATTTTTGAGATGTCTTAATGTTTCTTTCGTTCAAAAGGTTTTTGAGTGCCTTCCGTGGGCACACTGCGCACCCGGTTAGGTGACGTTCAAATGTTCAGCACGTGTTGTTTTGTTCTTTTGCAGCAGTGACCCTTCGGAGGGACGCGTGCATTGTTCTTCTGACTTGGAGTAAAACTCTGTACACTCTTAGTATTATTTGTTCTTGGAAAACTTTGACACTTATTTTAGAATTTGAGCAAACTTACCAGAGATGTCTGTATTGAAAACAAAGTCATTTCTATTTCCTGTGGAGCCTGAACTTCTGGGGCCATACAAAAGGAGGAGTAGAAGTTTTGCTGAAGAAGGGGAAACATGAACACTTACATGGTTTGGGACCAAAGAGAGTAATAGAGATAAATGGAATTGGTGTAGAGAAGAGGAGGTCAGTGTGGATCAGAAAATTAGACTTTTGAAGAGAGGCTTTGGGGGACCTGAAAGTGTTCTGTAGAAAAGATGACTGTCGAAGTGAGGTGACCGCATGGGCAAAGGTACATGGTTTGGAAGGAGCCGTAGTTGGGTGGAACGATGAGTAGAATAGTGTGAAGGAAGTAGAATATTCTGTCGACACTAGGTAGAATCAAAAGGGTGGCTTGGGCCTAGGTGCCAGAGAGGTGAACGTGGCAGCCTGTGGCATTTGGTTAAAATCATATCGAAGGAGAAGCACAGAAAGGTTTTGGTTAAGAGCTTTATGTTAGTAAGGCAGTGCTTTAAGACTATTAACTGTAAGCAATGGTTTTGAAGTTGTGCTGTGTAGCCTCCAGGGGCGGGGCCGGTTCAAACAGAAAAGCTTCTCGAGATCTTGTTCATTATTGTATCTTTGGAGCCCAGGACAGAGCCTGGCACCCAGTAGGAGCTCTGGTACGGCTTCAAGTCTGTCCCCACCCATGTTTCAGCTGGAACAGACCCACCCGACAGTGGGCTTCTAGGTATCGTTTCACTTTAACTGAAATGGTTCCATGCAAATGCACTTTGAATTTTGAAACCCCTAATGTGCAGAATTAGCGGAGGGAAGACTTGAGGAGGGGAGACCAAAAACCATTTGGAATCTGCATTCCAAGTCCTGATTTCACTCAGACTGCAGAGCGACTCTGTTGTGTTTGCACGCTAGAGTGGACTACGGCATCCCGGTGTTCCAGAAGAATTTATGTTTTTGTTTTGACATAAAAAAAGGATGGCATTATGTGCCATAAAGATAGGCAGATGATATTTCATGGCCTGAGGATGCACTCACGACTGGCATTTAGCAGGTAATGAGCATCTACTCCTTGGTGTTTGGGGGAAGGTGGAAGGAAAACAGTGTCAACATAGACCCGGCAGTGCTGATGACTGTGTTTTGGTATGCTGTGGAGTGTCACACTGTTAGCTCGTGTGGAAACTGCTCTCACCGGAGTGGTGTTCCTTATCCGAGAGCATTCGGAGACTGGTGACCACACAGGGTGGAGCAGTGGTTGTGGGTAGAAGCAGCCGCCATTTTTGTGAAATGCTCTGTAGAAGCTTCCCACACTCTTCCCAGCGTCACCATTCTCACTTGCAGGTTTCGTCCTGACAGGTGGGTCCAGGGACCCTCTGGCACTTCATCATAAAGTGATGTGTGCAGTGCTGCCTTCTCTTTGGAAATGCTTAAAAAAATTTTTATTGAGGTATAATTGGCATACAGCATTATATTAGTTTCAGTAGTACAACATAATTCACCATCTGTGTATATTGGGAAATGATCACCACACTAAGTCTGGTTGACATCCATCACCGTGCAGAGATACAGACTTTTTTTCATATTTTGAGAACTTCTAAGATCTATTCACTGGGTAACTTTGAAATACAGTATTATTAACTGTAGTTGCCATGTGATGCATTACATCCCCTTGACTTACCTTGTTTATAACTGGAAGCTTGTATCTTTTGACCACCTTGGAAATTCTTAAACTCGTTTCCCTAGTGCCCTGTAGATGAAGTTGATGTAAGGGCAGTGGCTTTCCTTATCTTCCCGAGGCCCTCAGCAGTTTTTGCAATCCCCTGATCCTTAGCTTTCCCTTTGGCAGAGTGAGGGCGCTCCTGCCAGGCTGTCCTGTGTGTGGTTGCAGGAGAGGGCTGCCTGGTACGTGCTCTGGGGCCAGCCCTGTGTGTGCGTGCGCAGTGATGGCCCAGTAAGACCCTGCACGTGGAGAGTGTTGCAGTGCACTCAATTGATAGGTAGTCTATAGATTTTGCCTTTTAAAAGACATTAAATTAACCAAAGAAATAAATACCAATAAACTCAGAAAATAGCAGAAGGTGGTTAGTACTCTGATTTACTGTGGGTGAACAGATATCTTCTTCTGTACTAGATTTCTTCACATTTTACCAGGTCAAGCTTCGACATGCAGAATGGGGAGTGGGTGGTGAGGGGGTGGCCGTGAGGCTGGAGTTCCTAACACTGTCTGGGAACCTGAGTGGGGGTGGGTGGGAGTGGTGGCGTTTACTCGGAATGCACTTTCCACAGCCTGCCTTGAGCGTACTAAATTAGAGTGTCCGGGGATGGGGTCTTAGCGTCAGCATTTAAAATGCATTCCCTGGGTTCATTTGATGGAGCCAGCTCAGGGACCCACGTTTGCGAGCCGTCGATTCCAGGGGCTCCTCATCACAACTGGAATAAAATCAAAACTCCTTACCTCACTCCACAGGGCTCCAATCCTGCCTGCATTTCTGCTCTCTTTCCCCTGTTCGAACCACTCTTTGCCTTGCTCCCTGTGCGTCAACAGGCCTCTTTCTGTTCCTGAAACGGCCAAGCACATTCCCACCATTGGGCCTTTGTGCTTGCTGTTCCCTCTGCCCTGACACCTTGCCCCTAGATCTTTGCATGGATGATTCAATCTGGTCTTAGCTCCAATGTGTCCTCCTCGAGGATGCCCTTGTCACCCCCTCCTATTCTAAAATTGCCCCCCTGCACCCCATCAATATGCCACATCACTTGTATTTTAGTCATAGTCCCTGTCACTAACTGAAATGACATGTTTGTTGTCTCTCCTCTGCAATGTGCCCGGCTTGGAGGCAGGGTCCGTGCTAATCCGGTTCACTCTTGTTTCTCCAACACCTGGAACAGAGCCTGGTCCACAGTAGGTCCTCAGGGGACCCGTGTTTTGAGACAGGCCTGCTCTCGCCAGCCAGAGAGCTCATGAGGTCTTCGAGTCCAGTCGGGGAAGGACAGAGTACTGAGTGGATCAAGCTATGTAACCTTGTGAGTACGGCCATTTCCTGTAACTCTTTTTCTTCCCTGTCTAGCTGAGTCCACCTCAGGGCGAGGCCAGTACCTGAAACGCATTCGATACCACGGCAGAGGTTACTTTGGGATCATGGAGAAGGTGTACTGCCATTACTTTGTGAAGTTGGTGGAAGGCCCCCCTCCTCCCCGAGAGGCGCCAAAGACAGCGGTCGCCCACGCCCAAGAGTACGTTCAGGAGCTCCGGAACCGGACCATCATTCACACTCTGTGATGGGGACTCCGCCTCCTCGGTGTATAGAGCTTTCCCTTTATTTCCTGAAATCAAACAATAAAGACAAATGCTTTTTATGACTTGTCATTGAGTTATTGAAATATGAAGTACGACTGCTAGTTTTTTTAAGGCTGCCCATCTCTCTGAGCCTCTGGGAATGTTTTATGCATTTGCGATCTGGAAGGGCAGATCAGCTTTGAACTTAGTAACAGACTGTAATTCACTAGGCTTTTTCGAGTACCTTTAGAAGGGATGTTAACTTCTTAACCAGTGTCCTGCAGGTGGAAGTGTTGCTTCCGGACCTGAGTAGAGAATAGGACAAGAAAGCTTCTCCTTATTTCACTTGGTTTTCCCTTGGGAGTCCAGGAGGACGTGTCAGAGGTGAGTGCAGCTGCACGTTGTCTCGTTGCAGGTTTCAGGGCGTCCTGTGGTTCTGGTTTTCCTTTCACTGTCGGTGCAGGCCAATTTTTACTTTCCTTGACTGTTTTAGCAGTAACCTAAAATTACAGGAGTTTATTAGATATATTTAATCTAAAACTCCAAAAACCCTTTAACTCAGAAAGTTTTATTCTAGTTATTAATAAAGACTGTTTTCATGTCTCATTCTAACAATATTTTCTCATGTGTGGATGCCTTGTTTAGGATCGAATCATTTTTCAGAGTGAATTCAATTACTGAGGAATTGAACACACCTCAGCGTTGCATTCTAAAACAAGGCAGCAGGTGGCGCCCATTTACCTCTTGTTAGCAGAAAATTGTTAGTATTGGAAGTGTTCAGTACTGCGCGGCTCTCCTTGATAAACCTGTTTTCATTGATAAGAAGCTACTCTGTCCACAGCCTGGTTCATTGTTTCTCAGACTTTTGTGTGCAGAGGAGTAGTGTGGGTGCAGACTTCCAGGTTTTGCCCCAGTGATTCTGATTCTCGAGGTCTTGTTCCAGAAATCTGTGTTTTAAACGAGCACGTCCATGTGATTCTGTTGTAGGGGATCACACTTTGAGAACACTCTTCTAATCGAATGAAGACTTTTTTAGTGCCCTGTTTTAAGTTGACATTAATCATGGCTACACTGGAAACTCATTATTTGCCAAGCTTTGTGCTAGTATTATTTTACAATATCTTCACGACATCTTGCAAACATAGTATTGTTTTGCCCCTTTATAAAGGAAGAAATCAAAGCACATAAAATTCAAATAACTATCTCAGGTTCACAGAGCTTGTAAATATTGGAGCTATGAGTTCAACTAGGTTTCTAAAGTACTGCGTAGCTAATGAACACACAGATGGGTTTTCATGGGTCCTCACTGAGCCGCATGTGTGGGTAGAAAGGCAGAGGGCTCAGTGGAATAAGCCACTGAGGTTTAGGACAGATTCATTTTGGGGCCCTAAGCTATTGTTGCATTGAAGCATGGGAAAATACAAGTAGTAAAGGTGACCCAGTCCTGGCACACCCAGTAACGAGAGAAGACTGGCAGGTCCCTTCCTTCCCTGGCCTCCATTTCATTCATCTGTAAACAAGAGGCTCGGTGTTCTCTGTAGACTGCCTCCTCCAGAATCACTTGAATACTTGTTAAAAGTTCAGATTCCTGGGCCCTACATCGGACTAAGTGAATCCGCACCTGGTGTGGGAACCCAGGGAACTTGGACTTTTAACAAGTGCCCCAGCGGTGTGCATGCTGGAGAATCCTGGGCTAGAGGGTCTCTTGGCTGTCTTTCGTGCAGGTGCTCCACGATCCTTGGCCTGGCTTGGAGCTCTGACTCGCTTGGGTGTGACTAAAACAAGCCAGGCGGTGATGTGGCCTCCATTGCTGTGCATTATGTAAATGAAGGTACTGCTTCAGCCAGGCTGTTAAACTGTTCTGAAAAAGTTAAGGACAAAACAGGTCTTGAATTTTAATGATGACAGTCTGCTCGTGACCTAAGCTGAAGCCTTCACTTGGAACCACTTCTGGCGTGTTAAAAAGTGTAATGGCAGCTGACATGTAGCAGTGTATGCACAGCACTGCTTTAAGCGTGCCAGTGTACCTCAGTCCACGGGTCCCATTGTGCCCGGTGCAGGGTACACACATCTGGCTAGTCTCCGTGGCCGAGTTCCAACACGTCAGAACAGCTTTGGTCCCCCCCTTTGAAGTTTAACTTGACATGGCTAGAAACCAATGTTTATTAATTATTCTTAAACTAATGTTTTAAAATTATAATGGCCATCTCTGAGCACTTGTAATTTCCTTTTTTCTTTGTCAGAGGATTGTGATAGACTTAAACCTTTTTGTTGGAGCGAAGCACCTTGAGAAAGTGCACTGGTCGAAAGTGTGTGGCTCAGTGGGTGGCCGCCTGGTGAACATGCCGCATAGCCGGCTGAGGAAATAGAGCACGGTAGCCACCCCGAAGCCCCTTCGTGCCCCTCCCCAGTACTGCCCACCTCTCCCCCCAAAGGTAACCCCTGTCCTGACTTTCAACATATGATGGGCTTAAAAAGAGGTTAGCTTTTGTTTTTGTTTTTCTATCCAGCATAATTTATTTGGTAAGCCTTATATGCCTGGCGGTGAGGATGCAGGCAGTGGAAGGAGAACAGAACAGCCCCGGCTCCGTGGAGCTCATGCTAGGATGGGAGAGACAGACTGTGAGTCAGTGATTGCACGTGTTTCCTGTGCCTAGTGCTATGGAAGTAGAGGGACAGGGCTCTGGGGGCAGATATCAGGACGCCCTGAAACATAGTTACTGTTTTTATTTGGGCGGGGCCCTTAGGTCCTTAAAGAGATAGAAGGAGGGGAAAGGATAAAAAGGACAAATGTCATATGGGGTAGTAGAGAGTTGTGTTAATAGAATGCCAGCCTGGGTTTTGTTTTTAACAGTATAAACATTAGGGCCACTTCACCCTTCCAAGAGTTAAGATGTATGTGGGGTGCGTGATATGGATGGGGAATGCACTTTTTTTGGAGCTGACTTAGACCTATCAAACTTGATCAGGTTCCCAGTAAGCCCAAGGGGAAAGACAGGTGAAGTATACTGCAAACATGACAAAATAAAATGGGTATATTTTTCTGTGAGTGATAAAAAAATGAGAGTTTTTCCATGCATTTCATTTTAATACAGAGGTTGGAATAACAATTTTAGTTACTGAAGAAAGGCTCATCAGGTGTGTGTGTTTAAAACAGGAAATGTTTTTGCAGTAGGTGAGCTTCCAGACAGATCCCAAAGCAGGAGAAAGTTGCAGAGGTGATATTATTAACACTTCTAGGAAGGGGCACCTCTTCTTAAGCCTCTGTCTGTGAAGTAACTCTCTAGGGTCAGATCTCTACATGAGAGTTGAGCCTTTATTGTTAAGTCCAACGAGCCTACTGTAAATTCTGTTCATTTATAATGTAGGATATATCATAGAATTACAAATATGTTGGATGGGAGAGAAGAAATATTGGTAAGTGAATCATACTTGTGCACTGAAGTAAAATATTTTGTTTGTCCAATGGAAACTTGAATGAATTATTTCTTATTATATTCTATTGATTATGCTATTACAGTTGTCCTGATTTTCTTCCTTTGCCCCCCTCCATCAAGTGTCCCCCACTCCCTCAGGCAATCCCCTATCATTGTGCATGTCCATGGGTCATGTGTGTAAGTTCTTCAGCTACTCGATTTCCTGTACTGTACTTTACATCCCCATGGCCATTCTGTGACTACCTATTTGTACTTCTTAAGGCCCTCACCTCTTCACCCATTCTCCCACAGCCCCTCCCATCTGGCACCCATCAAAACGTTCTCTCCGTATCCATGATTCTGCCTTTGTTCTTATTGGTTGCTTAGTTTGTTTTTTAGATTCAGTTGTTGATTTGTATTTTTTGCCATTTTATTGTTCATAGTTTCGATCTTCTTTTTCTTAGAGAAGTCCCTTTAACATTTCATATAATAATGGTTTGCTGATGATGAACTCCTTTCATTTTTTCTTATCTGGGAAGCTCTTTATCTGCCTTTCCAATCTAAATGATATCTTTGCTGGGTAGGGCAATCTTGGCTGTAGGTCCCTGCTTTTCATCACTTTGAATATTTCTTGCCAGTCCCTTATAGCCTGCAAAGTTTCTTTTGAGAAATCAGCTGATAGTCTTATGGGAACTCCCTTGTAGGTAATTAAATTCTTTTCTCTCGCTGTTTTTAAGATTCTGTCTTTATCTTTAACCTTTGGTATTTTAATTGTGAGGTGCCTTTTTGCATCCATCTTGTTTGGGACTCTGGGCTTCCTGCACTTGCATGTCTATTTCCTTCACCAAATTAGGGGAATTTTCTTTCATTATTTTTTCAGGTAGGCTTCCAATTTCTTGCTCTTTATTTTCTCCTTCTGGTACCCCTATGATGTGAATGTTGGACCTCTTGAAGTTGTACCAGAGGTTGCTTATACTATCCTCATTTTTTGGATTCTTTTTTCTTCTTGTTCTGATTGCTTGCTTTTTGCTTCCTTTTGTTCCATAGTATTGATTTGATTATTGGCTTTATCCACTCTACTATTGTTTCCCTGTAAATTGTTCTTTAGCTCACTTAGTGTATCCTTCATTTCTGACTGGATTTATTTTATGCTGTTGAGGTTCTCACTAAGTTCCTTGAGGATCGTTATAACCATTGTTTTGAGTTCTGCATCTGACAGATTGCTTATCTGCCTTTTTAGTTCTTTTTGTGGAGTTTTGATCTGTTCTTTCATTTGAGCCATGTTTCTTTGTTTCCTCATTTTGGCAGCCTCCCTGTGTTTGTTTCTATATATTAGGTAGAGTTGCTTTGACTCTGTGTCTTGGTAATGTGGTCTAATGTTGTAGGTGTCCTGTAGGGTCCAGTGGCACAGCCTCCCCTATCTCCCAAGCTGTGCCCTTCGTGTGGGCTGAGTACACACTCTTGTAGTTGAACTTTGCTGTTGGCAGATCAAGGGCAGGGATTTACCCAGGCCAGTCAGCTGTAAGGACTAGCTGGGACCACTGACCACCAACCTCCACCCTCTGTGGAGAATCAGCTGTGCAGGGGCAGGGTGGTGGTGCTCCAGTGTGGTCTGTAGCTGTCCCTTGGGTTTCTCATGTGGTGCAGGCCAAGGTCAGCCCCCACCT